AAAATGATACATATACCCTCCAAAGTTACGTATTCCATTACACACTGACGGTTTCCGTTAATATGTAGTTAAAACTAACGGTTTTCATTATTTTTACTGTTAAAACTAATAGTTTCTGTCAATTTTAACGGCACACTAACAAAAATTATTAATGTGTAACGGAGTGTGTAACTTTTAAATGGTGTATGTATTAGTGTCCTTTTAATATACATGATACTTTAAAAAAACATGAATCACTTACTTTATTTATTACCTCTAATTGAGTACCATTTTTATTGGAAGCAATGCCACTACTAAAATTCTCCTTTTTAGCAATTAACCATCAGCAACATGGAATTGCTTGTTGGTGATATAGATTCTCACCAACAAGATCCATGTTGCTGATACTATAAAGTAGCCAATCTTCCAAATAGTGAACTCAGCTTTCAGTAACATGCTTCTTGTTGCTGATAATGAATATCAGCAACAAGGACAGTGTTGCTGAAATTTTGCTAAAATTTTTTGATGTGGGAAAGTTGCCTGAACTTTTAGCAACAAGGAATATGTTGTTGAAAGTGAATTTCAGCAACAAGCACTATGTTGCTAATACCTCTATAGCACTTAATCCCCCAAAAAGTGAGATTAACTTTCAGCAACTCCGGCAATTAACTTTTCCCTCTTCTCCATTATTCCAGCAACCGTTCTCCTATATTATTCTAGTAACTATTCTCCATTATCTTCCTCTCCTCCATTATTCCAACAACTGTTCTCCTCCATTATTGCAACAACCGTTTCCTCCCTTTCTCCTTTTATTTTTTGCCTTTTTTTTGTGTCTACTTCCCTTTCTTAGCTTTTTTCTTTGGGTTCTTGTTCGTGAACCCAGATCTGGGTTTGTGTTCTCATGAACCTAGATCTGGGTTTGTGTTCTCAGGAACCCAGATCTGGGTTTGTGTTCATGAACCCAAATCTGGGTTCACGAACCCATTGCTGGGTTTGTGTTCATGAACCTTCCCTTCTCTTCTTCCTCAAACCAACCCCTTTCCTCCATTTTACATGTTGTTTAGAATTTGAAACGAAAAAGGAAAATAACATTCAGTTGGAAATCTGGATTGGTATAAAGTTAGATCTTGGTGAATAATCCAGATTTTAGGAATTAATTGTGAATTTTCATTTCAATATTTTTTTGTAGGTAAATTTTACTTGGGTATGAAAAATTCGTTTCATTTTGTGTTTGGGTATTGAGAAACGTTGTTCAAGAAAGTTTGGTTGATTTAATTGCAAGGGTATTTTTTAATAATGAAATTTATATAATAAGTAAATATAAATAATTAAACTTAAATTGAAATTAATGGTAAGATAATTGATTTGATTTCTAATTTAATTTATGAATTAAATGATATTAAATGTAGTTATAATAAGTGAACATAATAATTAAAAATGTTAATAGATGTTATAGTTGATAACTTTTTTTGATTTTATGGTATGAAGTTTAATTATATAGTTAATTTTTTTTTCACATCCTCAAATACTAATATCATATCGTTCTATCTTAATTAATTATTATATCCTTTAATTTATTAAGAAACAAAAAAATTGTATAATTTTGAAAAAAAATTGTAATGTAAAGATATAATAGATAATTATATACAGAGTTGATTTTTTATCAGTAAAGAGTCAAATCTAAAAGCTAGATTCAACTCTGAAAGCCTCCAAGAGTTGACTATAGAGGGTCAACATTCGACTTGCAAATTTCAGAGAAGTTCAAACATCTTGCTGCAGGTTAGAGTTGACTTTATACATAAAGATTCGACTCTCAAGCCTCCAAGAGTCAATTATAAAGGGTCAACATTCAACTCCCAAATTCCAAAGAGCTTCAAACATCTTGCTGTAGGTTAGAGTCGACTCTATACATTAACATTCGACTCTCAAGCCTCCAAAAGTCGACTATAGAGGGTCAACATTCAACTCCCAAATTCTAGAGAGTAGAGAAAGTTTTAGGTGGTGGGTATAGTTGACTCTTTTTATGAAGAGTCGACTTTTAGGGGAAAAGAGTCGACTCTTAATTTAAAAAGTTGACTATTGACCAAAAATTGCAGTAACTTTATGTGAAATAACTATGTAGCCTTATATATATGTCCACATATATTTTTAGATAAATTAGAGTTTTAAATTATTTAGATATGTTAGTAAATAATGTAATTATATTAATTAATTTATCAGGTATTAAATAAAAGTTAATAGA